ACTGTAATTGTATTTACCAACATGGTCACCGAAGAGCCATTTATAAATTGTATATATAGTTGCAATTCAGCCTGTGCTGTGAGTATTTCATTGGGTTAGTCCCAACATCACAAGTTAATAATACTGAAAAGAGGGATATGGGTAAATCGCAGAGAACACTGCACTCAGGATATGGCTAACAGTGATTAAGTAGTCTCTGCTTTCAGAAGAAAGATAAGGGCCAAAAAGAATAGGTCCCTTGATAACATCAGGTAATTCTTATATATGGTCCTTCATGACACAGGCATAAATCACAATAAAACCCATCTGCAGATCTAAGGGGTGAAACCATAAATCCTGCTTTATAAATGAGAACTGCACATCTGATAGTGTACATTGTTCCAGATTTACGGCAGCAGTAAATGATGTACTAAGGTGCAGAAACCCATTTGCGTGTTCTGGCTGGAAAGAAGGGAGGCAAGATTCTTTCCAGGGAGGAGAACATGTTTCAGTATGTACTCAGAAATGAGAGAGACTGCATGTATGAGAAACTGAGGCTTTACACAGACTTGTCACATCTTGACTTTGTGCCGGAGACTTTCCCTTCTGGTGCCAGATTCTGTAAATCCATGGCATTGCGTTATGACTTTCCATTTGCTCCCATGTCTGGTGGGGTAAATGCAAGTGATGGGGCTGAATGCCCAGCTTTGGCTGGTTTGTAAAGCATACTGAGATCAAATAAAATTTTTCACATTGGCCAGGAGCCCATGTCCTTTTCCAGGCTACAGTTTTGCATGCCAGCTTCTCCTATCAGCTGTAGGAGAAAGCCAAGTGTTCATTTAAACAAGTGGATGGCTGGATGATCCAGCGTCTTGCCTGGGCTATGGCCCATCTTCTGGACCATGCTGGTTAACTTGGCTGTCTTCTCTTTCGGGCATTGGAGGTTGTATCCGCCCTGGCACAGGCTCACATTCCTCTAACCACAGAGCTGCCTTGCATTTGTAACCCCTGTGCCCTGCTCAAGGCCACACATTCACCATCACATTCACAACATGAAGCATCTCCCAGCAGCTGCTCTCATGGCAGCAGGTTTGGGGTTTTGGCTTATCTTGTGTTGCTGTAGCTCTGCATAGGCAGTGCACATATTTGTCGTTTCTGTTGTCAGTATGAGACAGATTGGTTCCATAGAGTTCTGTGGTTTGACAATACGAAACACAGGGTAGAAGCTGACTCCACACATTTTCACATATGTGGCATATTCTTATTTGGACCCACTCTCCTTCACATCAACTCTCTCTGGGGACTAATGAGGAGTAACATACCCACACCTGCTGCTTGCACCTCAGACTATTAAATCGAGGCATTATCTAAAGCACATGACAGATTATTTAATTTTGTGTTCAGTTTGGGACTGGGACCTTGGAAACATCTTGGGTATCTTAAGACATTAACATTTCGTGTTCACTAGGATGTTATCCCAACAGCACCCTCAGACTTCGGTTTCAGACAGCCAGAAGATAGTGGCTCTCTACACGCAGGCTTTCACTGCAAGAGGTCTTTTCTATCCTTCATTTTTAACAACTTTACTGCAAACTTCCAGTACACTTTGCAGCTGAGGTTAGCGCAATCCAGCAGCACTAACTTCTCTCCTGTTTTGGTATTACTGCCACACCAAATTTACATTTCTATATAATTGAGTACAGCAGCTATGCTCCTTTCAAGGCAGTTGGATCTCCCAGGCATGAGCTCTGTGTTTCCCAATCTATGTAAAGTTCAGTATCTCCTGAACAATCAAATACATTACTGTGTTTTTCTGTAAAATGCCTCAGGGAATGAATGTAACTAAAATGTCAGTCTGAGCATGAAGTGTCTCCCGAAGGGTGAACAGAGCATGGAGAAATACAGACTTTGTTTCTCTAGCGGCACCTGCCAGACACCTGATGATGCACATAAAGCTATTTGCTATCTGTCAGGTCCCCAGAAATCTGTCTTTTGAAGCTAGTAAAACACCTTTTGTTACACATTTCTTTTTGTTCAGGTGTACATAAATATAGCAGTCCAGATCTTTAATATAGCTCCCAAAGATGACTGCATCCACACAGTCCCTCTGCCTGGTTCTCTGTCTGCCTGCAATAATCTGAATCTTTTGGCCATATAAACATATTAGGCAGATTGATGGAGGCCTCAGAGAGAAAAAGTTTTCCATAAGCCAATGTAGAAATCCATGGCCGGAGAAAAAATTATTAATGCCTCTGGTGAGGGGAAAAGTGAGGGCCATTGTCTTCTGCTTGGTTGCAGCTATCTGCCAGTTAGCCTTGTGTAGCTTCAGATTAGCCCCATCTCATACTGGCTTTTGACCTGCCAAGAGGCAAAGAAGATGACAGAGGAAGGCAGATGGGAAGCTGGCTTAGAGGCCAGATCAGGGAGTAAAGTGCCCAAGCATGTGGGGATGGAGAGGGAAAAACATGGGAAAGAAATCATAGAGAGGGGTGAGGATCTAGGTGTGCTCTTTGGGATGTCCCAGGGAACACCAACAAGCAGGTGGATTGTTGCAGCTGGGACAGTGCAGAAGCACAAGGCCATGCAGTGGGTTTGCTGTTCATGATGGATTTATTTCAGTGGAGGTGCACCTCTGTTTCCATTGCCTCATTAGCCTTTGTTCGCAGCCCAAAACCTAGCAATATCCCAGCTGCTTTTAAGCAAACTGTTTCTGTGACTCTGTCTGTGGCTCCTGGGAGGAATTCCTGAGCGCAACCTGAATCTGACTGGGGAGAGTGCTCCTCAGTCTCCTTTTCCCTGCTGTGGGCACCCCTGTTGGCACCTGAAAGTCCTTGTGAAAATGATGGGGTTTGTTTGTTTGTTTTTTCTCATTCAGAGATTTATAATGTTTGTCTCCTTTTCACACTTCCATATCTCACTTCAGCTTTTCCGTAGTGTTCATATCTTGCCCTTTTGCCTGAGTCAGCTGAAAACTATTAGAATTTTCAATCAAATTCAGAATCAGTTACTGTTACAAATGAAGCTGCTTTCTGACTGACATCTTCATTAGTCTTACTGGTACTTGCAGCTAAAGCAAAGAGAACAACATAGGGTCCAAACCAGTTGTCTTCCCTATTTCTGGAGTTTAAAATATATAAGAGATATTAACTGCTCATTTGTTCTACTTAAATTATTATCTCATTTGACTTTTTTAACAAGTCCTCCAATGGCTTCCTCAGTTGTGGCCAAAGTTTGCCTTACTGCCTGAGCTCTTGCTGATCAGTCCCTTACAAGGCAAACATTTGTCCAACATAACAGCCAGCCTCGGCTTGCCTGCTGCAGTGTCTCTGAGAGGTCCCTATCTTGGTAATAACCTTAATGCTTTCAAGACAACATTTCATACATCAGGTTTCCCCAGTCCCCAGCTGGGGAGACAGTAAGAGCAGCAGAGCTGGTGGAAACACTATGCTGAAAGGGGCAGCAAGTGCAATGGAATGGCTTTTTGAAGAACAAAGTGTTGATAATAGTTCTGATAGGCGCTTGTCATGGCTCCTAGGAGGTAAAGGAGGAAGGAGATGTTTCCTGTGGATTAGGAAACGTGAGAAGCAAGAAGAGGGACTTTGCGAGTAGCTGAAACAGCAGCAGGTAGAGGCACAGGGCAGGTACTGGTTGCGTGCTGGTGAGCAATGCTGCTCTGACTTGCAGCCAGGGACTGTTTGCTTAAGTTGCAGTTTGAAGTTGGCTGAGGGAAGGTGTGGGCAAAGCTCTTTTGTTTAAATGCTGGCTTAATATCTGCCTGAACTGGAGCTGAGAAAAGAGCTGGCCAGGGAAGGTGGGCAGCCTTTAACCCCTCCAGTGGGCCACCACTGATAGCCATCACCTGTGCTCTTCAGTGCTATAAAGCAGGAGGAAGGTAGGCTCTGTGGCTCCAAGGCAGGTGTTGTGTCCCATGGGCATTCATCTGAACTGTTGTTGCTAGAAATCAAGAGGATAGCACATGTTTTGCTTTAAGTGTCTCTTATTACAACTCAGCAGTGTTTCCTGCTCATCCCCTTTGCCCCCACATCCATGCCCACTCTCCCCGTGCAGCGGGGATAACTCAGGGTGGCACCTCTCAGGATTTGACATGTGAACATTAATCTCATGGTTCAGGACTTCCTCAGCCATCAGCCTCTCCACCCATTCACACAGTTTGCTGGCAGGAGCCACTGCTCATGCACCCTAGCCAGGAAAGGACAGTTGGAGGTGGGATATATGACAGTTTCAGATTATGATTGTTCTTCAAAGTGCATATTTAACACTGCTAACCCACTTCAAAGAGAAGCAGTGCCCCCCAACCACCCTCTTTAGCATCTGACAGCTTTCTTGCACTGTTATTTTCCCTGAAGTTTCATTCCACAGATTTATAGATGTGTTGAGCATTTTAACCCTCCTAGATTTCCAGGGACTCCCAGTCTTCAGCTATCAGCTGCCTGAAACATGGCCTGACCTGTTGGCTTGGCTCCCATACCCCATTTTGATGGATCTGTTCAGCTTGTCCATGATGACTTGGACACAGTGGTTCTTCCTGAGATGAGCTGGCCAGTGTGGGAGCGCTGACCTGACAGCTGTGGGCACTGTGGCCATGATGGAATAAACAAAGACTTTTCTGTTTTGGAGGCTGCCAAACTGTCAATCCTCAGATGGGGAAAGGATCGCTCGCTGTTTTCTTCCCCTCCTGCTCCTTAAATGAATACAATACTCCATTTTAAATGTGCAAAACTTACCGTCCCCTCCCTACAATTGAGCATTGGGAACTTAAAATGGACTGCCCTAGTCAATAAAAAGAAGCAGCTTGATTAGTTTTATGGCAGCAAAAGTGGGTTAATTGCTGAAACTGCTTCTTATGCTGTCATGGTTCAGATAAGCGGGTTTAGCACAGCAAGCAGCCAAAGGGCATACATTAGTGGCTTCTGCAGCAGAGGAGGTGAGCATGCTCAGCGGATCACTCCTTGGAGGCACCAGCCTTGGAGGCACCTCCTTGAAAGCTCCAGCCTGCTGCCTCTGAAGTTGGTGGCAGACTCCCCACTGACTTCAGTGGAGCTGAGATTGTGCTGTAAATAAATATATCTGCTTCCAAAGGGTACAAGAGACAGATCAAACAAGAGTGAGCTTTTCTTGTATGTAGTAAGATCTTTTTCCTCTATTTCCTCCATGGATTTCTAAGGCATTAAATTTTCATTAAAAAGAAAATTACTTAAAAATTTCATTTACCTAGAGCCTCTGACCATATGCAGCCATATTGCCACATAAGAAGCAAGTGTATTATCAGCTCCTATTGGAAATAAAGCTATCTGTGCTTCAGCTGTGGTATGTATAGCACCTGAGTACAGCAATATCCACTCTGCCTCTACCTATGCTAGCTGTAGATTGAAAGCACCAGAAACTGGTGGCCAGTACCAGCTGGCTGTTTGCACCTTAGAGCCACAGATAATTTAGGATAATTTTGTTAGTCTGGCTGCAGGACTTATACTATGTTAAAAGATGTATAGATTTGTTCACACAGCAGTTGAGGTAGGAAAAAGGTATGATAGCCTGGGAATGTGAAGAAGTCAAGGTGGGAAATGGAGGTCATCTCCCAGACAGGAGGGGAAAATGCACAAAGGTTTGGTGTAATCATGGAAGTCTGGAGCTGGGGGTGGTGGTGGAATTTTGAAATATAGAACATTATGAGGGCTTTTTTTGATGCCCAGTCTATTGTTGGTATTAGGTAAATCTGTCATAGAGTTTGGCAAGTTGGTAAATAGTTGGTAACTAAATATTTGGAATTATTGTATTCCATCAGCATATAGCTACAAGCCCTTCAAAAGCAGATTTATGGGGTTTCAAGGAAATGCAAGTTAGTTGTCTATTTCTTGAGTGAATAACTGTACCAGCTCATCCAGAACAAACACATGGATGGATATAGGATTTGATTCCTGTTGTTCCATGTGCAACAGAGACATTCACTGCTGCAAGCAGAGTCACTGTTCGTGTGTAATATAAACACAGCAGAAACTCATCACATTTTGGTGCTTATTGGTTTCAGTACTGACTTCTGCCATGTCATGATATTTATCCATTCCTCTTGCAAATTTCCTGAAAACAATAAAGATGCATGAAATTATTAAGTTATGATCCTCATCTCTTCTCAGTTCACCACCAGGTCAGCTCCCAGCAGCCCTTTTCCTATAGTACATTGCTTCCATGGGACATTTCCAACCAAGCTACTGCTTAACCCTGGTGATCTTACCAAAACTGGACAGGAGGCTGTTACACTGCCACACCGTATTTCCCATTGTCACAGAAAGCAGTAAACAAAATCTCTGCTTTTGACTGACTGTAGCAAACAAGCAGTTTCATGTGCATGTGTGAGAGAATCTATTTGGTGTGGTTTCTCACTTCAGAGAAAGCGTTCACACCAGCTGCAACCCCAGCTCGGCTCCCGAGCCCTGCACAGCTCTTACCCAGTCCGCTTCTTTTGCAGTACTGCTGCTGAGCAGGGAGATGCCGCCTGAATCTGCTGTCAGAGCAGCTCTCCAGGCTGGTGGGAGCTGACAGATGGTTGCTCTGAAGTATTTCCAAAAGAGGGGAAAAAAACAAGAATCTCCCCACCCACTGCAAGTCCATTGTTACTGCTGCATTGGTAAGGCAATGTGCTTGAAGGAACCAGGGGAAGCAAATGAAGCAAAGAGAAGAGTTAGGTTGAAATAGAAACCGAGGTCTCAAACCAGAGTCCCTGATGCAAAATTTTGTGTAATCTAAGTTTCCTTTCTCTTCCCCAGTTGCTTGGTTGTTGCCCATTTTATGAGGGGAGCAGACCCAAGAAATAAGAAGCAGAAAAGTCTTGGGAGTTTTTCTAGGAATTGAGGTTTCTCTTTCAGCCATGGTATTTGGATTTCTTATCTCTTCATTTACCATTTGGTTAAAATGAGGCAGCACATCCTAGCAGCTGGCACAGGAAATGGGGAGGCCTCATCTCTGTGCTTTGTGAGGGACAGAATTTTTGTGCTGGGGTGGAGAATCCGTTCTGGGGCTTTGATATCCTCCAGTGCTGCTGCAATCCTGCCTACTGGTGACCTGCATGTGATTGTCCAGATCTGGGCTACCACAGCAGGTCAGGGTTGCATGTTGGCCCTCGGCAGCTGATCCAGCTGCAGGCAGGTGGGAGTCCAGAGAGCATCTGACAGAGTCATTGGTGTCTGCTGTAATAGTATTGCTGCTTTGTTGCGAGCATCCTTACCATGTCCACACTGCTGCTGCTTTCACTGTCTCCTCCATGCTCTTGCTTTTCAGTATATTTATTAATTTCTCTTCATTTCCAGAGCAAAATTATAATGAACATATTCCAAAGCTCACAGTAAATCCCTTCCCATCCTCAAGGCTCCCTCAATGCTTATCTTCCCAGCACTTTCCCTAGCCTCAGGTTAACCCCTGCACTACCAGGATCTCTAGAACACTGTGAAGAAGGTACTTCAATGACTACATATTCCTACTGGGTGCTTTGCCTTCCAGTATCTTTCAAGTAATTTTAAGTGGATATGGAGCTGTTATAGCCCAAAAAAGTGATTGTTAGCAGGGCGTTTTTTTTGTTTGTTTGTTTTTTTTTTAAAGGAGCAAATATCAAAACATCATGCTTTTCTAGCCCTGGGATATGCAGAGATGTCACAACTCTTTGTGAACAGTATTGTGCTACAGACAAAAGCTATTTCAGCTTCTCTTTCTCATTTTTTAATCATATTAAATAGCATTCTCTCTCTCCTCTGGGTACATTCTGGCTAATTCATATTCCACTGTAAATCAAAAGCATTTCCACTAATCTCAGCAAAGACTGACTCAGCAGAGAGTAGGATTTTGGCCAGGTAATCAGGGCATGAAAAATAGTATGATCATGAGGCTTCAAAATTTCTCTCCTGTGTTTTCACAATAACCTTTTTACAAAGGTGATCAGGCAGCAAGAAAACCTGCTTAATAATTAACTAAACCTAAGATCCTTCCCCTATGTAAAATCTATGTTGATACCCAAATTAAATAACCAAAAGCTACTCAGACTTTCTACTTTGCTACCCTGATATTTGTGCTGATGAAAACATGGTCCACTTCAACACATATATACTGTGCTCCTCATTAGCAGAGGTTTCATGGTGTCTTCTGATAATTAGCAATATAAAATACCAGGATGTTCAATTTTTAGCCGCATTTCCTTTTGAAAGCCTACAGGCTTATGTAACAGCACCGTCTGCCATCCACATCCTTCTCCTCCCAGTCCCATCACTGTCAGCTGCATCACCCAAATTTAAACTAGTTGACAGGGGGAGGGAAATAGAGACCTGACATGTATGAAGCATCCACAGATTTTGTGAAAGGAGTGGAGAAGCTAAATGCTATTAAGGACTCAGGTTGCTGTACAGGGTGGGGGAAAAGGTAGGATGGAGACGACCCTTCCTAAACCTGGGAGAGCTAGATTTGGAGCTCTGCCTGTACATGAACCCAAGGGAACAATATGTCTGTGGTTTCATCGCTCAAGCTTTGACATCTCTGCGCATGGCTTTTTTTCCCATCTTGTTTAACTTATTAGTAGAGAAGGCATTTATCCTAATGCAGTCTGTAATCTCTATTATTTCCACAGGTTCACCAATGGGACCATTGACAATTGGGTCTGTTCCTCTGGGTCTCTGTGCTCCCATTTTCTTCTCCCTTAAGAGCAGCAGTAACAGCCCCTTCATCCCTTTCCTACCCCACACCTGTGAGAAGCATAAAAACAGTAAATATTGTGAGCAACCCTTATTTATCACCTCTCTTGCCTCCAATATATTTTTATGCTTACAGTGGAAATGTCCAAATACTCTTTCACAATAAGCCCCTCTTATAACGTAAAGTATCTCAGGGTGCTTGAAGTAGCATGCACATCACTGCACAGACCACATTGTCCAAGCAGGTACATGCATATGCTATGGGCCTTTTGGGACCTATCCTTTACAAAGTGTATTTTATATGATAATTATACATGTCAGCACTTCACACTTCCTCCTCTGACATTAGTTGGCTGGGGTTGGCAATACACCATTGCTTTGACATCTGGCAGTACAATCAAAGCAGAATCTCGCTTGCTGAGGCTGCAAGGCAAGCAAAAATGTGCTTCCTTACAGCTCTATCACCTCATCCTCTTTCATAGCAGCAAGTTCACAGCTGCCCCTGTGACAAAGCTCTTTGACTACTAAGGGGATGGTTCCACACCAGGATTGGTCCACCAGCAAAGCCAGTGTAATAGGTTTGCCTGAGTTCAAGCCCCCACCTATGGGTGCTTCAGCCCTTTCAAGTGTGCTTACTCAATTTTTCTGTGGTTATGCCCTCAAACTTGTTTGAAGTGGATTTGCTGCTGGGGCAACTGTAATGTAGCACATCACTCAGATTCAACTACTTTTGCCAAACCTGTGAGATTACCTGTTTACTATGCTGTAAAATACTAATGAATGTAGTAAAGTCTGGACTTAAAAAATAATTAGCAAAACAAAAAGGAAATGTGATGTGTTGTTTCGTATTTTTTTAATGGAAGAGAGGCTGATCCAGCTTCCACTAAATTAGGGTTTATTCCTATGCTTCCTATAATAAAGTGTATTTATTTCCAGACCAGAACATGCACACAAGAACTTACAAACACAGATTTCTCAAGCTGAGAGAGACAGGAGAGGATCTAACATGGACTAAGCTCAACCCTTCCCAATGTGCCCATACCCATTCGTACCTGGGTTGTTAAGTGGCATTAAGTCAAAGGATGCAGTTAACTGTCCACCAGCACAACCACATGTGACCCTGCCACAGGAGCTATCCTGGTCAATGCCCTCAGACAGAAAAGTCTTTCATAGCAATACAAGAACATCAGTGAGGGAATGAGACAAGCTGTAGAACAGTTCTGTATCAGACAGGTGATTTGTTGGGTCTACCATCACTTTTGCTGAAAATGAAACATTTTGCCAATAACTGGTCTATCACACTCTATGGAAAAAAGCTCAACAAAAAGAAAAACAAAAAACAACCCCCACAAAAATAAAACAACCAACCAACCAAAACCAACCAACAAACCCAAACCTAGAAATTATATCAGAACAAAGATAGATAAATTTTAAATATCCTCCATTACCAGACTTTCTTGGGATCTGGCTGATTTTAATTCCTTCCTCTTTCCTACCCATGACATGTCCTATTTCGGTCTATTTGATGTTGAGCAGCATGGTACTCCCACTAAGGGGTAGGACTATGCTCCTACATTTGCTATATAGCTGTCAGTGCTGGCTCTGTGTTTTTCCTGCTTTTTATGTCTGCTGCTCATGTTTTGGATTTCTTTTCCCCTCTTTGTTCCCAAATGCTGCAAATACAAACCAGCTATCTGTAATCTTACAGTCACTCCTTCATTTACAGAGCAGGCACCAACACATCTGAAAACTGCCTGCAGTATCCGAGGAAAAATTAATTCCAGACATATTGTATCAATTTCAACACTTTGTAGGAACTGGCAGAGTTTAAATCTCTTGGGGCTGAATGTCTTGAAGCAGCTCTGCCTTTCTCTTGCACAGATAGAAAGGCAGAATAATCCTCCTAATTCTGAGGGAGTTTAACTCAAGTGTGCATCTGTCTGAAGAAATGAATGTGTTGCTCCCAGTTGACACACTTTTCCTGATGGAGGGGAAGATGTGCTTGCTTTTGTAGGCCAAATTTTGATACTTCTAATGAGCATCAGCTAACTTTACCCTAGTCCCACATTCTCCAAGGGAATCACAATGGAGCAAATGCTTAATCTTACTCCCATTCATGTCAGTAAAAAAATTCCCATTGGTTTAATTTAGAGAATGAATGATCCTAAAATATGAATCACAATTGTACAACCCAGCTTTCATTGGGTCAGACTTGAAGGGTCTCCCTTAAACAAGTCCAATACACGTTCACCTGTCCTGGTATTGGCTTGGGTTAATTTTCTTCTTAGTAGCTGGTATAGTGCTGGAGTTTTGGATTTAATGTGAGAACAACACACCAATGTTTTAATTGTTGCTAAGTAGCACTTCGCTTCATCAAGGACTTTCCAGTCTCGTGCTCTGCCAGTGAGGAGGGGCACAAGAAGTTGAGAAAGAGCAGAGACAGGACACCTGACCCAGACTAGCCAAAGGGATATTCCATACCACAGCACATCATGCTCAGCATAGAAACTGCTGGTAATTGGCCAGGAGGTGCCACATGCTGCTGCCAGACTGGATGGGTGTTGTTCAGTGAGTGGTGAGAAAATGTATTGTGTATGACTTGTATTTCTTGGAGTTTATTCCCCTCTCTTTTTGTTATCTCCCTTTTCATTACTTTTTATTATTGTTGTTGTTATTGTTGTTGTTTATTATTATTATACATTACTTTATTTCATAGAATCATAGAATAATTAGGGTTGGAAAGGACCTTAGGATCATCTAGTTCCAACCCCCCTGCCGTGGGCAGGGACACCTTATGCTAAATCATATCACCCAAGGCCTCGTTCAACCTGGTCTTGAACACTGCCAGGGATGGAGCATTCACAACCTCCCTGGGCAACCCATTCCAGTGCCTCACCACCCTAACAGGAAAGAATTTCCTTCTTATATCCAACCTAAACTTTCCCTGGTTAAGTTTTAACTCGTTACCCCTTGTCCTGTCACTACAGTCTCTAATGAAGAGTCCCTCTCCAGCATCCCTATAGGCCCCCTACAGATACTGGAAGGCTGCTATGAGGTCTCCACACAGCCTTCTCTTCTCCAGGCTCAACAGCCCCAACTTCCTCAGCCTGTCTTCATACGGGAGGTGCTCCAGTCCCCTGATCATCGTCATGGCCCTTCTCTGGACTTGTTCCAACAGTTCCATGTCCTTTTTATGTTGAGGACACCAGAACTGCACACAATACTCCAGGTGAGGTCTCACGAGAGCAGAGCAGAGGCGCAGGATCACTTCCTTGGACCTGCTGGTCACATTCCTTCTGATGCAGCCCAGGATACGGTTGGCTTTCTGGGCTGCAAGCGCACACTGAAGCCAGCTCATGTTCATTTTCTCATCAGCCAGCACCCCCAAGTCCTTCTTCGCAGGGCTGCTCTGAATCTTGTCTCTGCCCAACCTGTGGCTGTGCCTGGGATTGCTCCAACCCAGGTGTAGGACCTTGCACTTGGTGTGGTTAGACTTTATGAGGTTGGCATCAGCCCACCTCACAAGTGTGTCAAGGTCCCTCTGGATTTAATTCCTTCCCTCCAGCATATCAACCGAACCACACAGCTTGGTGTCATCGGCAAACTTGCTGAGGGCGCACTCAATCCCACTGTCCATGTCAGTGACAAAGATGTTGAACAAGACCAGTCCCAACACTGATCCCTGAGGGACACCACTCGTTACTGGTCTCTAGCCGGACATTGAGCCATTGACCACAACTCTCTGTGTGCGGCCATCCAGCCAGTTCTTTATCCACCGAGTGGTCCATCCATCAAATTGATGTCTCTCCAATTTAGAGACAAGGATGTTGTGTGGGACAGTGTCGAACGCTTTGCACAAGTCCAGGTAGATGACATCAACTGCTCTACCCCTGTCCATCAGTTCCATAGCCCCATCATAGAAGGCCACCAAATTGGTCAGGCAGGATTTCCCCTTAGTGAAGCCATGCTGGCTGTCACCAAGCACC